GGTGACGAAATGATGATGGTGAGGCGTGGTGATGAGAAAAGGAGCAACCCAAGGAAGAAAGTAGCATTTTTTAGTTCATTTGTGGCGATAAAAAAAAACTTTCATCCCTTCTTTCCCGTCCCTCTCTCCCCCATCAGTCTCAACTCTTCTCCGGCCATCCGCAGCGCGACATCTGTCATGGGCGTAGACGAGTGGCTGGACGACCCCATCACATGCCACGTCATCGGGCTGCGCCTAGTGAGCACCACTCCCACCCTTCCCGCCGCCTCCCACTCTCGCACCCACACTCACTCTCAATCTCGCACTCGCGCCAACACCACTTAGTCCAAGGAACCGCTGAAGCCAGGGGGAACCAGCGGGGTAGAGGGAGGAAAGGGAGGGCAAGGGGGACAAGGGGGAGCATCAGGGAAGACAAGAGCAGAGAATGGAGGAGGAGCAGGAGGAGCCGAATCAGATGAAAGGTTGCAAGGAGATGCTTTGGACTGTTAGGGGAAGAGGGATGGCGGTTGTGAGACAGAGACAGGAACATCTGCAGCTGCAGAAACATGAGAAGCAGAATCAAAAGGCAGACCTGAAGAAACACCTGAGAGAGTGACAAACCGTTCCTGGCTCTCCTACCGTTCCTACCGTTCCGTCCCTTCTGTCCCGTTCTTCCCTCTTCCCACCCCTCTTCCTTCCCCTCAACAAATGGTATTTTTTAACTCCGCTGATTCCCGCTTCCTCCCCCAAATCGTATTCCTCTTCCCCTCCCTTTTTCTCCTACCGCCAGCCCGCTTTCTACAGACGACGGGGAGAACAAGCTTGTTCAGAACCAGAAACTCGTATCATCTCTACTCCTAGCCTCCTTCTCCCATACCCCCTACCCTCTCATCCTGTCACTGCCCCTCTCCTCCCCTTCCCTCCCCTCCCCTCCCCTCACTCCCTTACCCCCAGCCGTTGTGCCACCTAGCCTCGTTCTCCCATACCCCCTACCCTCTCATCCTGTCACTGCCCCTCTCCTCCCCTTCCCTCCCGTCCCCTCCCTCACTCCCTCCCCCCGGCCTTTGTCCCACCTTTCGCCCTGCCTCTGCGGGTTCCTTCCCACAGCCGGGATTGCTGCGGACGACGAGGAGAGGAGAACGAGTGTGAGCTCAATCAGAGAGCCTCTTCCCTCTTTACCCCTTTCATTGCTCTCCCTTCCCCGTTGTCTCCCCACCACCTCGCTCGCTGCATGCGACGAGGAGAACGAGATTGGGCTGAATCAGAGAACTAATTTCATCGTTACCCCTTAAAAGGCTTCTTCCTCTTCCTTTCCTCCACTCCACATTTCCTGTCCCCTTTCCCCTCCCTCCTGCCCCACCCGTTGTCTCCCCATCGCCTTGCTCGCTGCATGCTACGAGGAGAGGAGAACGAGATTGGGCGCAACCCCGTTCCTTTCCACCCCTTGCCTCGTTCTGCCTTCTTCCCCACCCTGTCACCTCCCCACACTCCCGGCCCTCTTCCCACTCCCTTTTTTTCCTCCCCTTGTCTCCCCACCCTCGCTCGCAACAGACGATGAGGAGAACGAGTTCTCGCTCGTCCCCACCCTCAATCATAGCTTTGTTCTCCTTGGCACTCCTTGCCTCGTTCCCACCTCTCCTCCACAACCCTCTCCTCCCATCACTTCCTCTCTTTTCCGAATCCCTTCTCTTCCTCCCCTCCAGTTGACGAGGAGAACGAGTTTGGGCTCAACCAGAGGGTGGGCGCTGCTGACGTGGCGCTGGCAATCATTGCGCAGGCGCATGCAGGATGGCAGCTTCTCACTGACAACAGCCCGCCACACTCCCTCTGGAGCCCCGCCAACCTCATGCTCTCCGCGTGCGCGTTCTGCAGGACAAATTGCGCAAATACACTGATCAGTACTATAAAGAGGCGGGTTGTGAAGGAGCCGAGAAGGGTGACAGCGGCGGCGGTGGTGGTGGCGGTTGTTGCGAATCTCGATAGGTTGTTGCAGATATATTTACATGCGTTATGGCTTTCAGTACTTGAACTTTTGGAAACTTGGGGCTTCCTTACAAGGATTGCAAATTTTGATTGTCATGGTATTTTTAAAATTGTTAGCTATAAATGAATGAACACATGTTTTGTTAACATGTCAGTATCCTCTGCATTCTGTTCTCTACATTGGTTCCGATGGTTCATTGTCGAGGCCTAGCAATATACCGTAGTAGGGTGAAATGTTTTTTTGTTTGTCTTCTCCTTCTCCTCGCACTTGCTCAACTGTTTTTTTTTTCCACCGTGTCTGTGTAGTTTGACTTGTGTTTTCCTAAGTCCTGGCTCGTCTTGTCTTCGACTTCCCTTTCCTCGTCACACAGACTTAAGGACGTGATTTCGTCACAAACTTAGCCCTTAGTTTTGATTCGGCGCGCTTACCACAGGTGCAGAAAGATTCACCATACAATTCGCGCAAGTGGTGTTTTGTGTTTGTTCGCGCTCGCTCGGTGCTGGGTGCGCACGCTGTACACTTTGCGAGCTTGACGTTTGCAGCCAACAATCAATTGGCTAAAGCCGAGGCTAGGGCACTGTATGGAAATGTAAATCACGAATTAGCTCGCTCACGACAGGTGTACAGGTGGGAAGAATAACACGTGGCGATTTTTGTTCCTGAGCTTCTGTTTGTTATCTGATTCTCTTTGGGGATTCTGGTTGTTTGTTTTGTTGAGCTGTATTTTCTTATTCACCCTTGCTACTCTCATTCGTTTATTCGCACCCGTTATTGCTACTCAGTATGGACCGCCTGGTGTTTTTCTAACCTAGGTCGTTCGTCGCCACTGCCCTACATGTTTTAACCAACTTAAGCACGAAATTTGGCCCCTACCGTCTCCACCCTACTGCTTTTTCGTTCTCTGTCAGAAGGCGATCCTCAAGCTCAGTAGCAGTTGCGAAAACATAACCAGTGGGCATGGGTTTATTTCACGACCTGAAGCACGACTTTTACCCAGCTGTTATTTTTGCGCTTGGGCTGGGTTGCCAGCGGGAGCGCTTCCGACTGCTGGGCATTGCAGGTGTGCGCTTTGCGATTCTATTTTTCTCAATCACCGAGTGTTCCCCAACCAATCCCGCTCACCCTGCTTGTTTCCGAACTGTACATGACGGTTAGGTTAGGAACTGTTTGAGCTTGTTAGGAACTCTGCACAAACAGTTGAATGCTTCCTTAGGGCGCAGTACAATTTCTCGCATTAAGCATTTGTCGCGTTCTTCAGTTCAAGTCGCAATGGCAAGAAAATGTTTGAAACATTTGCACCGTTCTCAACCAGGAGTTAAAATTAGGGTTTCACACTCAAGGCTGCAAGAGAACGCGCCCGGGAGATCACCCCAGCTTCACCATAACCCTTCCACCAAAGTACCCCGCACTCTCACATCACCTTCGTTGCGCCACCTAGTAGTAGACCACCCTCCACCACCGCCCGTCCTTTGTAGTAGCACAGGCCGCCTGTGCTACTACAGCACCAGCAACTAGTAGTAGTAGAACTAGTACTATTTAGCATTAGTAGAAGCCGTAGAAGCCGTTCGTATCGACCCCCAGGGTTTTCCCGTTTGTAGACTCATATACGCGCGCATATGGTGTTTTCTTTTTCTTTTTTTCCTGTCGATATGCATACTAGTACTCCTACTACATCGTCGCTTTGTAACAATGTTTTTACCGTTGGTTTACTCCGGCGACGTGCAGGTCTCGTCGGAGGTTTTCGGAGCACAGGCGGCGAGCAAGGGCGGCGGCCAAGCGAGTGCGAGCCGCTTCTCGCTGGGCGCCTCGTCGCCTTAGGTTTGCCGTCCCGCGATCTGCGGAGCAGATTAGCGCCCAGCACCAGCGAGTAGTAGCAGCAGTAGAAGCCGTTATTGTCAACCAATGTGCATTTTCCCCCCCGTTTTTTTTTAGGACTGGCTCAGGTGCTGTTTCCTTCCTGCTACTACTACTAACACTATTGTCGCTTGTTAAGATCGTATATATCGACCACGTCGCTCTGCTGTGGTTTGCTGCAGGCGGCGTGCCGGGCACGTCGGCGGTTCCCGGAGCAGAGGAAGTGGGCAAGGCGGTCAGCAGCAAGCGAACCGGGCGCCTCGCCGATTAATACTAGGCTGCCGTTCCCCGCGATTCGCTGAAACGAGCTGCTGACGTGGCTGCTGAGGCACCTCGAGCGTTGACTCAGGCTGCGGGGGAGGCAGCTCGAAAGGCTGGACAGAAGCTGAGTCAACTGCCGGATGGCGTGTTTGACTTGGGTCAACGCACTGGTCAACGCGTCAAAGACAGGCTGGCAGAAGTGGCGGGTCACAAGGCTGGGCAGAAGTTGGGTCAACAGGCGACTTCTGTCTTTGACTTACGTCAACTGCCGGATTCTTTCTTTGACTTGGGTCAACGCACTGGTCAACGCGTCAAGGGAAGGTTGGGGGACTTGGCAGGTGATAAGATAGGGCAAAAGTTGGGACAACTGCCGGATGCAGTCTTTGACTTGGGTCAACGCACTGGTCAACGCGTGAAAGGCAAGCTGGGAGGCTTGGCAGGTCACAAGGCAGGGGAGCAGTTGGCTCAATTGCCAGATCTTGTCTTTGACTTGGGTCAACGCACTGGACAACGCGTTAAAGGCAGGCTGGCAGAAGCGGCAGGGCACAAGGGTGGACAGAACTCGGTTCAACTGCCGTTTTCTGACCTAAAATTGGGTCAACAGCCGGATTCTGTCTTTGACTTTGGTCGACGTACTGGTCAACGCGTCAGAGGCAGGCTGAGGGATCAGGCTGGTGGGTGGAGGAAGAGACTGAGTCAACGCTTGGTTGACCGATCCAATGCAGTGAGTACAGCTGGAGATGGGTTACAGGACAGGGCAGAAACAGGTGAGGGAGCCTCAACAGGTGTAGCTTCGGCAGGTGTAGCTTCGGCAGGTGTTGGAACAGGTTCAGGTTCAAAGCAGACACGTCAGAAGCGGGTTAGAGTGCGGATTCGAACATCTGTAACAGCATCAAAGGAACAGGGGCAGACACCTTTTGAGATGCCTCAAAATACCATTCTAGCATCAAAAGAACGAGGGCCGACGCTCAAGAAGCACGCACAGGGCGCTGAAACAGCAGTCCCAGGCGTTGTTGAAAGAGGCGTTAAGGCGGAGAGCTGAAACACTTGCAGACGCTACTGCTGCTGCCACTCCTGAAAGAATACGGGCTTTAAGAAAAGCGGCCACTGCTGCTGTCAGTGTCTCTCTGTTAGCAACCACTGCTGCTGCAGCGACTGCTGCGGCGGCGGCTGCTGCTGCTCGCGGGGGGTTGGTGGTGGGTTCTGTTGGCGGCAGTGCTGCCTTTGCTCGGCAGATTGCTAGGCGAAGGTACGCTGCTGGTGGTGCTGCTGCTGTGGTGGTGGTGGGAGGTGAAGGATATGCCACTGCAGAAGTGGCTGCCAGTGGTGATGTGCCTGTGTGTGGTGATGATTGTATAGCAAGTGGTTGTAATGGGGGAGAGAGCGGTGTTGCTAGGGAGGGGGATGGGGATTATAGCGAGGGGAGGCGTGCTGCCAAGGCTGGTGGTGTGACTGAAGGCAGAGGTGCTACAATGGGAGATCCACCTGACCCTTCTGGACACTCCCAGGAGGTAAAGAGACCAAGGATGGAAGAAGCGAAGGAGAGAGAGAAGAGAATATCGGAAGCGGAGGAGGAGGAGGAAGGTGGGGAGAAGAAACGATCAGGGTTGCAGCAGGTGCAGCAGTGGTGGGCGTCATTACTGGCAGCATGCGCCACTGCTCTCAAAGAAGCAGTGGGGAAGCAGCTAGCAGGGGGGATGATGACCCATGCTGCCCGGTGGATGGCTGCTGCAGTAGCTGTGGTGCTGCTGGTGCTGGCTCTTCTAGTGGCTGCTGCTGGTGCTGGGAGGGGGGGGGGAGGGAAGGGTGGGAAGGGAGGGAACGGAGGGCTGAGGCGAGGAGAGCAGCAGGCAGTGAGCGTTGAGTCAAGGCAAGAGTCGCTTGTAAGGGCGAGAAGGGTGGCGTGGCAAGGTGAAAAGGGTACGGCGAGGTTAAGAGCGGTGAATTTCAGACAAGAAGAGATGCTATGTGGCGCAGCGATGGATGGCGCAAGGGTTGTGTTGTGTGACATGTTGAGTGACCATGCGGCGGGTGGTGGTGGTGCAGTGAAGCATGTGCAGCTGGTTGCTTGGAGACGGGGGGTGACTGGACAGCAGCCGGAGGAGTATGCTGAGCAGCGGTGGTGGAGGGAGAAGAGTGGGAAGAGAAGGAGAAGAGGAGGGGCGAGTTGGATGATTGATAGTAGCGGCGGTAGTAGTTGTGGTGTTGATAAGGAGAGAATGAGCCGGCACAGAGCATGGGAGGGAAGCAAGGAGAGCGGTAGAGTAGTGAGGGGAGAGGCAGGGCAATTGAAGGAAGTGCATCTAGTCAATGGGGGTAGTGAAGTGAGGGTCAGTGCGAGTGAGTCAAGGAGACGAGAGCGAGACGAGGCAAGGAGGGTAAGGGAGGAAGAAAGGAAGAGGGAGAAGGAAATGGAGAAGGAAAAGGAGAGGGAAAGAGAGAGAAAAGGAGAGGGAACGGGAGTCGTTAGAGTACGAGATATGGCTGCAGGGGGTGTGGGATGAGGCAGTAGCGCGGGGCATATCAGAGGAGACGGTAAGGGAGGCGTTGGAAGGGCTGCAGCCTCTGCCTGCTGTGGTGTCTAAGGTGACTGGCGCAGCGGAGGTGGTGCTCACTGCACGGCAGTATGTGGACAGGTGAGAAGCACCCAGGGCATGTAAACAACATGACATGGTGAAGGATGTATAGGAAGGGCTGCAGGCTGCTGCTGCAGCTGCTGCCTGCTGTAGTACCTAAGGTTACGGGTGCAGCAGAGGTGATGCTCACTGCACGACAGTATGTGGACAGGTGAGCATAGAGAACAAGTGGTTATAAAACATGTATGCATGCGCAGGGCTCTGGAAGGGCTGCAGCCGCTGCTTGCTGTGGTGGCTAATGTGACTGGTGCAGCAGAGGTGGTGCTCACTGCACGACAGTTTGTGGATAGGTGAGAACTGGGAAAGATCAATCAACAAGTGTGGTGATTCTGTGCAAGAGCGTGCCACTGGTTGCAGTTGCAGCCTCTGCCTGCAGTGGTTCTTAAGGTGACTGGTGCAGCAGAGGTGGTGCTCACTGCACGGCAGTATGTGGACAGGTGAGAACTGGGGAAGGTTGATTGAGTAACCAGTGTGGGGAGATGGTGATGTTCGGGAGGCACTGGAAGGGCTGCAGCTGCTGCCTGCTGTGATGTTTAGAGTGCGGAGTGCAGCCGAGATGGGGTGATGGGCTGACAGTATGTGGCCAGGTGAACGGGTAGCTTGGGAAGGGGAAGGTAATCAACAAGTGGTCTGCCCTTACGTTATGTGTTTGTATGCACCCATGCTTGCCGTACTTGATGGGTGCACAAACGAGGTACTCATTTGTCGTTTGTGGGCTTTAACGGGTATTGTATTCATCATCCCTTATACTTGAATGGATTGGTTGATTCATGGGTGCATTGCAGGATGGTGAGTGAATCTCGGGTGGTGGAGGGCAGGCAGGTGATGGAAGCTCACAGGAAGCTTCTTGCGGAGATCGAGGAGATATACGGTGTGCCAGCCAATGTGATGACTGCGCTGTGGGGCATAGAGAGCAGGTGCTGTAACGAGGATGGATGTTATAACGAGGATGGATGTTATAACGAGGAGGATGTGTTGATGACATGTATGCATGTACCGCGTAATGTGATGACGGCGCTGTAGGGCATCGAGAGCAGGTGCTGTAACGAGGATGCGTGTTATAACGAGGATGAATGTTATAACGAGGATACGTGTTATAGCGAGGATGCGTGTTATAGAGAGGTTGGATGTTATAGCGAGGATGCATGTTATAACGACGATGCATGTGCTGATGACATTTCAGAAAGCACCATATGATTGACCTGTGTTCTGTGCCTGCTGACGTGGCAGCTATGGGAAGAACATGGGCAAGTGGGACGCTGTTCAAGCCCTGCTCACCCTTGCATATCGTACAAAGCAGGTGAGAGGTGGTGTAGTGTGGTGTGGTGTGGTGTGGTGTGGTGTGGTGTGGTGTGGTGTGGTGTGGTGTGGTGTGGTGTGGTGTGGTGTGGTTTGGTTGAAGGCTGTTAATGTGGTGCTCTAGTTCAGGTTATACGCCGTCCAGGCCTTGCTCGCCCTTACATATCATACGAAGCAGATGAGAGGAAGCTCGTCTGGTGTAGTGCGGTGTGGTGTGGTTTGGCATTGTGGTGTGGTGCTTCAGTGCGCTTTACCTAATATTCGCTGAACATTTAAATTGAATTATCACATGATTTTTCACTTGATATACAAGTTGATTTTTCACTTGATATTTCACATGATGTTTAACCTGCTGTTTTACTTGATCATGTCACTTCTTCACACAATCAACCCACCCCACCCCATTAACCACACACCTTTCTCCTCTTCTCCCTTCCCTTTTCCCCAATTCAGCCACGCCGTGCTGCCTTCTTCTGGGAGGAGCTGATGGAAGCCCTTTCGATCCTTGAGAACAACCACGGGCCTTCCATAGCAACCCAGGGCCTTCCTGCTGTTCCTTCTGTTCCTGCGGTTCCTGCTGTTCCTGTTCCTGCTGCTGCTGATACAGCTGCAAGTGCAGTGGGAGAGAGGAGGGTGCGGCTGCTAGGGTCGTATGCAGGGGCCATGGGGCAGTGCCAGTTCATGCCTTCGTCTTTCAAAGCCTACGCGGTGGATTACGATGGAGATGGGCGAAGAGGTGAGGAGCAAATGACGGTGGTGCTTACTTATATCATGGTTACGGTGTAGTCGCAAGTGCAGAGGAACCTGCGGTTGCTGGAGTGGTATGCAGGGGCGATGGGGCAGTGCCAGTTCATGCCTTCATCCTTCAAGGCGTATGCGGTGGACTATGATGGAGATGGGCGGAGAGGTGAGTGATTGACTGTAGGTAATGCCACTGACAACCTTACACGTACAACAACTAATTAATGTGGAGATGGGAGGATAGATGAGGAGCAAAAGAACATGGCTGCTAGGGTCGTATGCAGGGGCAATGGGGCAGTGCCAGTTCATGCCTTCGTCCTTCAAGGCTTATGCTGTGGACTATGATGGGGATGGGAGGAGAGGTGAGGTGCGGGTTTGAGTTAAGAGCTCTCATATTCCTTCGTCCGTCCTTCCAGGCCTATGCCATGGATTATTATGGCGATGGGAGGAGAGGTGAGTAGCTTCAGACGTGGCTGCTGGGGTAGTATGCACGGTCCTGAATGTAAAGCTTACTCTCACCCTAAACTTAACACCCTACACAGTGAAATCTTAAGCCCAAGCTGTGTATTCCGTTGAAAATGGGAAGAAAGGTGAGGCTTGACTGTAAAGCTTACTTTTGCCTTGAATCCCTATTTTTTCATTTCGATCTCGCCTTTGATCTCGCTTTCCTGTCTTGTACCTACCCATCCAGACATCTGGACTTCTGTTCCCGACGTGCTAGCATCAATGGCGAACTACCTCAAGTGCAACCGATGGAGACGAGGGGAACCAGTGGGGGTTGAGGTGAGCTCTGAGGCTTGTTACCGAGTTATAAATCAAGATCTTTGTTACTGCACTGCTTCAAAAGCCAGTGGGGTTTGTGTTTCTGTAATATCCAGTACACAATTGCGTCAATGGCGAGCAATCTTAAGTGCAATCGATGAAGACGAGGGGACGGAGTGGGTGTTCCGTTGAGGTGGGGGTCAGGGAGGTTTGCTGTGTCACATTCAGTTGAGGTGGGGGTCAGGGAGGTTTGCTGTGTCACATTCAGTTGAGGTGGGGGTCAGGGAGGTTTGCTGTGTCACATTCAGTTGAGGTGGGGGTCAGGGAGGTTTGCTGTGTCACATTCAGTTGAGGTGGGGGTCAGGGAGGTTTGCTGTGTCACATTCAGTTGAGGTGGGGGTCAGGGAGGTTTGCTGTGTCACATTCAGTTGAGGTGGGGGTCAAGGAGGTTTGCTGTGTCACATTCAGTTGAGGTGGGGGTCAGGGAGGTTTGCTGTGTCACATTCAGTTGAGGTGGGGGTCAGGGAGGTTTGCTGTGTCACATTCAGTTGAGGTGGGGGTCAGGGAGGTTTGCTGTGTCACATTCAGTTGAGGTGGGGGTCAGGGAGGTTTGCTGTGTCACATTCAGTTGAGGTGGGGGTCAAGGAGGTTTGCTGTGTCACATTCAGTTGAGGTGGGGGTCAGGGAGGTTTGCTGTGTCACATTCAGTTGAGGTGGGGGTCAGGGAGGTTTGCTGTGTCACATTCAGTTGAGGTGGGGGTCAGGGAGGTTTGCTGTGTCACATTCAGTTGAGGTGGGGGTCAGGGAGGTTTGCTGTGTCACATTCAGTTGAGGTGGGGGTCAGGGAGGTTTGCTGTGTCACATTCAGTTGAGGTGGGGGTCAGGGAGGTTTGCTGTGTCACATTCAGTTGAGGTGGGGGTCATGGAGGTTTGCTGTGTCACATTCAGTTGAGGTGGGGGTCAGGGAGGTTTGCTGTGTCACATTCAGTTGAGGTGGGGTTCAGGGAGGTTTGCTGTGTCACATTCAGTTGAGGTGGGGGTCAGGGAGGTTTGCTGTGTCACATTCAGTTGAGGTGGGGGTCAGGGAGGTTTGCTGTGTCACATTCAGTTGAGGTGGGGGTCAGGGAGGTTTGCTGTGTCACATTCAGTTGAGGTGGGGGTCAGGGAGGTTTGCTGTGTCACATTCAGTTGAGGTGGGGGTCAGGGAGGTTTGCTGTGTCACATTCAGTTGAGGTGGGGGTCAGGGAGGTTTGCTGTGTCACATTCAGTTGAGGTGGGGGTCAGGGAGGTTTGCTGTGTCACATTCAGTTGAGGTGGGGGTCAGGGAGGTTTGCTGTGTCACATTCAGTTGAGGTGGGGGTCAGGGAGGTTTGCTGTGTCACATTCAGTTGAGGTGGGGGTCAGGGAGGTTTGCTGTGTCACATTCAGTTGAGGTGGGGGTCAGGGAGGTTTGCTGTGTCACATTCAAGGTGTTTGTGTTGCTGGTTGACATGGCGCACGCACACTCGCATCAATGGCAAAGGATCTCAAACCCAATAGAGGAGATGAGCCAGTTGGGAGGAGGTGAGGAAGATAGGAGCTACTATGTTCAAACAGTTGAAGCAGCCTCTGTTCGTTCGGACCCTGCTTCCATCCTCATGTGCTTTTCCTTCCCCGAATCCTTACCATGTCTCTTCAACCCCCCATGAAACTCACCGTGGTGTGGTGGCAGGCAGCACCGTGGTACGGATATCAAACACCCTCTGTTCTTTCGGGTTCGTCGCTTGACCCCCACGCCCGGTTAGACAAGTAACGACTTCGAGGCGCCTCAAAGTTCATCGCTTGATTCCCATGCCCCTCTCCCTCTCCCACAGGTGGTCCTCCCTCCTGAATTCCCGCCCTCCCTCCTAAATCCCAGTGTGAAACTCACCGTGGCGGAGTGGCAGCAGAAGCACAGAGTCAGAATCGCTGATGGAGGTGGTGGTGTTAGCAATGGAAGTGGGGAGAGTGATGGGAAAGATGGGAGCGACACCGCATCTCTCCTGCCCGACATGATCGCCACTCTTGTACGCCTCCTGCTCTCCCTTTTAATTTCCAGCGTCGCAATTTTCAGCTGACATCTCCTTCACATCTACCTTTCCCCCCTTCACTTCTCCTGTTCCTCTCCTGCATCACCACCACCTCTTTCCCCTCCTCCCGCCTGCACAACCCACTCCTCACAGCCATCGCACCACACATATGCCATGCGTTCCTGCTTGCTCCTTCTCTAACCCATTGCACCTGCTATGTTTCACCAGCTCCCCTCCTCCCACCCATCTCCTTCTCTAACCCAAGGCAGCTTCCTCCCTCCTCTTGCCCTTAGCTCCTCCCAGTGGCTTCCTTTCCTACCACTGGTCTATCCCATTGTGCCCACCGTGTTAAGATCAATTAAGCAAAAAACTGTATGATAAAACTTACTTCCTCTCTTGAACCATGGTTGCCCCCCCACCTGGCTTCCACCTCCCCGAAGCAGCACCAGGCTCTGAGGCGCCTAAGGACGCGTCCCCTCCCTCGATCGATCCTGCGCAGGATCGGTTTTTTTGTTTGGTTTAGAAAGGCGCAAAACGCAGGTTTTAGTGCGGTGAATGATCGATATTCCTCGATTTTGCACGATCGATTGAGGGAGGGGACGCGTCCTAAACAAAGAGTGGAAGTCGCTTTACTGCGGCTTCCTCCCTACCTCACCTGGCCCGTGTTGCTCCTACGCCCACGTGTCTTCCACCTCCCCGGGGTAGCACCTGATTCAGAGGCGGCTTGAAGGTGTATGTAGACGTACGGTAAAATGTGAAACCTCCATCCAATGGCCTGCGGTTGCTCCTACTCCCACCTGCCTTCCACCTCCCTCTCCTCCCCCAGGTGGCACCTGACGGTCCAGCTGGCGTCGCTTACCTGGCATGCCACAACTTCCACGTCATCCTGCGCTACAACCCTGCCCAGCTCTATGGCCTGGCCATTGCTGAGCTGGCACGCAGACTGGGATAATGCAGTGTACTTTTCATTATATGGCACTTGAAAAAATGTGTGGCTCACAAGGGGGGCCATTTCTGTCTGATGTAACATTGGAGAGATATTAGAGTGCCCGTCCCATGTGTCTGCTCGCAGCAGATACGAGTTTCACGTGCAAAAAACTGTCACTGGAACAAGTCACAAGCGCCTGCACTCTGCTAGATGCCGCAGCCTCAGCGAATCACGATGCTTCATTTGTTATCTCTAAAGCAATCAATTGGCACAGGCGACTCTCAAGGACGGGTCAAACGTCAGCTGGGGACTGCCTGTCCTAATGCACCCGCTTGCCAGAAACAGAACAGCTCAAATCCTGCATATTGACGGCGCTCGGGCCAAAGCTCAAAACCACGAGTTTGTCCTAAGTTCACCTAGCATGTGAGCATTGCTTTCAAAAAGGGTGGTAACTTAACTCTCTCACGAGGTTACCCTCCACATGTGTCAATCTTATAGGGATGCCGCGGGTGTAGCCCCCTTAGGGATGGATGGATGGCAAGTTGGCAATTGCCAGTGAGAGGATCAGTCATCGAGGTAGTAGTAGGTGCCGGCATTCTTCTGCTCGCGGTCCTTCACAGATTCCAACTTGTTGATTCGCGGCCGGAAGTTGGTGGGGTCCCTCCTGAACGTGATGTCCAGTTGCTGATTGGAGGGGGGAGGGGTAGGAAGCAGTGAGCATAGGGTTGAGCAAAGAAAAAGAATGGTGACGACCCGAAACGCGATGTGCACTGGAACGCGATGTGCAGCCGTGGTACCCACAAACGGGAGGAATGGGGGACGTACGGGTAAGGAATGGCAAAAAGGAAGAGGAATGAGGACTTGACAGCTATGGCGACCTCACACTCCCAGCTATGAGAAATGGGGAGGAATGAGGACCTCGCACACCAAAAAGAACGGGAGTCGCGTACCGAGAGGAAGAGGTTCATTCCGCTGTTGAGCGACTGGGGCGTGCGGGCAGTGCAGTCCACCGAAGGCTGCCCCTCAGGGTTCATATGAAAGCAAGAATTTATATACCATCTGGCACAGGGTGACTGTGAGAGAGGCGTACCGAGAGGAAGAGGTTCATTCCGCTGTTGAGCGACTGGGGCGTGCGGGCGGTGAAATCCACCGACGGCTGCCCCTCGTACACAATGACCCGGTCCGCCAGGTACGTGGCCATGATGAAATCGTGCCATAGGAGGGGCTCACCCACACAGCAAGAGAGAGGGGGCAGAGAGAGCGAGCAGCGTACCGAGAGGAAGAGGTTCATTCCGCTGTTGAGCGACTGAGGAGTACGAGCCGTGCAGTCCACAGACGGCTGCCCCTCGTACACGATGACGCGGTCCGCCAGGTACGTGGCCATGATGAAGTCGTGCTCCACCACAAACGCCGTCTTCTTCGCGTGCAGGATGAAGCGCTTGATCACCTTGGCCGCCACGATGCGCTGCTCCGAGTCCAGGTAGGCTGAGGGTTCATCGATCAGGTAAATGTCGGCAGGCTGGGAGGAAAGGGGGTGTGGGAGGGTGGAAGTGGAAGTGGAGAGTCAAAGGGAGGGAAGGGATGAACCGCTTGATCACCTTGGCTGCCACGATGCGCTGCTCCGAGTCCAGGTAGGCCGAGGGTTCGTCGATCAGGTAGATGTCAGCAGGCTGGGTTGGGTGGGAGGGGCGAAAGAAGAGGGAGAGAACGAGAAGAGAAGGGAGGATGCACGTGCAGGATGAAGCGCTTGATGACCTTGGCTGCCACGATGCGCTGCTCTGAGTCCAGGTAGGCCGATGGTTCATCGACCAGGTAGACGTCTGCAGGCTGGAGGAGGGGACAGGGCAGGGGAAGGGGGAAAGAAGGGGGGGGGGGATTTGGAGAGAAGAAGAGGTGAGGGAGCGGCTGATAAGGTGACTTTTGAGTCGACTCAAAAAGTGACCTTGGCTGCGACAATGACGTTTTGAGACGCATCACCACTCTCAGGTCTTATAAGTCTTCTGAGACTCCTCACAACACACCCGGACGGCACGTCCCTTCTGAGCTGCATCAAACCCCAAGAGGAAGCCCCTTCCTTACCTTGCCAAGGCACAGCGTGGTGGCAACGAGGTGACATTTGAGTCGACTCAAAAGTTACCTTGCCAAGGCACAGCGTGGTGGCAACGAGGTGACATTTGAGTCGACTCAAAAGTTACCTTGCCAAGGCACAGCGTGGTGGCAACGAGGTGACATTTGAGTCGACTCAAAAGTTACCTTGCCAAGGCACAGCGTGGTGGCAACGAGGTGACATTTGAGTCGACTCAAAAGTTACCTTGCCAAGGCACAGCGTGGCGGCAACGAGGTGACATTTGAGTCGACTCAAAAGTTACCTTGCCAAGGCACAGCGTGGTGACAACGAGGTGACATTTGAGTCGACTCAAAAGTTACCTTGCCAAGGCACAGCGTGGTGGCAACACGCTGCAACTCCAGCAGGGGGTCGATCTGCCTCGGGCGACTTCTAATCCGCCTTAAACCCAAGCAGGAGTCGATGGGAACAGGGTGGCCCATACCTTCTGAGCCGCCTCAGAACTGCCTCTCTTACCTTGCCAAGGCACAGTGAGATGGCAACACGCTGCAGCTCCCCTCCAGACAGATTCACGACCTCCTGATCTAACAGGGGGTCGATGTGTGCATGGGGCGCAGCACGTCCGAGTTGAACTGCGGGTGGTGGAAGGAGGGGAGGGGGTCCCCTCACCACCCACCCCTGGACACACCTGGTTGGCCCGTGGCACATACCTTGCCAAGGCACAGCGTGATGGCAACACGCTGCAGCTCCCCTCCTCACAAATTCACCACCTCCTGGTATAACAGCGGGTCAATCTGCATGGGGCGCAGCACGTCGGTGGGTGGTGGAAGGAGGGGGGGTTGGTCCTCCCACCCACCACCCACCCCTGGACACACCTGGTTGGCCCGTGGCACATACCTTGCCAAGGCAGAGGGTAATAGCCACGCGCTGCAGCTCCCCCCCAGACAGGTTCACCACCTCCTGGTCCAACAAAGGGTCGATCTGCATGGGGCGCAGCACGTCCGTGTTGAACTGCGGGTGGTGGAAGGAGTCGCGGATCTTGGAGTGCAGCAGCACGCGCACGCTGTGCGGAAACTTGGGGCTGATCTTCTGCGGCTTGTACGACACGTTGAACTCCGGGAGGTCTTCGGCCTCCTTGCCCGCCTCTTCATCTGGATCCGCCTTTAACAGACCAGCCTGGAAGGGGTTGAGAAGGGTACAGAAGAGCGGAAGGAAGGGGAAAGACGGAGAGAATGAAAGAAGGAACTTGGGGTTGATCTTCTGCGGCTTGTACGACACGTTGAACTCCGGCAGGTCCTCTGCTTCTTTTCCCGTCTCTTCATCTGGGCCCGCCTTCAAGAGACCTGCCTGCAAGGTTCAGAAGGAGACAGGGGGGGAGGATTGAAGAGGAAGGAGAGAGGGAGAGAGAGAATGAGAGGGGGAACTTGGGTCTGATCTTCTGCGGCTTGTACGACACGTTGAACTCCGGCAGGTCCTCTGCTTCTTTTCCCGTCTCTTCATCTGGGTCCGCCTTCAAGAGACCTGCCTGCAAGGTTCAGAAGGAGACAGGGGGGGAGGATTGAAGAGGAAGGAGAGAGGGAAAGAGAGAATGAGAGGGGGAACTTGGGGCTGGGGAGGATTGAAGAGGAAGGGGAGAGGGAGAGAGAGAATGAGAGGGGGAACTTGGGTCTGATCTTTTGCGGCTTGTACGACACGTTGAACTCGGGCAGGTCCTCTGCTTCTTTTCCCGTCTCTTCATCTGGGTCCGCCTTCAGCAGACCTGCCTGCAAGGTTCAGAAGGAGACAGGGGGGGAGGATTGAAGAGGAAGGAGAGAGGGAAAGAGAGAATGAGAGGGGGAACTTGGGGCTGGGGAGGATTGAAGAGGAAGGGGAGAGGGAGAGAGAGAATGAGAGGGGGAACTTGGGGCTGATCTTCTGCGGCTTGTACGACACGTTGAACTCGGGGAGATCCTCTGCCTCCTTGCCGGTTTCTTCATCTGGATCCGCCTTCAGCAGACCTGCCTGGGGAGAAAAAGGGAGGGGAGGGAGGGGAGATGGAAGGGACGGGGGGAAGAGACCCGATGGGGCATTTGAGCTGGTGATATGAGTAAACCAGGAAACGGGATTTGAAGGCCAAAAAATACCCCGAAGACATGCATATGAAATAAGAGCTGCTTATCAGCCTTGCGAAACCATACCCCCCTCCCTCCTACTACTAGCGAGGAGAGAGAGGTCACCTACCCACTCCGTGGTGGAAACATGTCAAATTTTCCGTTTGTGGCCTACCAGCATGCGGATGAAGGTGGTCTTGCCGGTGCCGTTCTCCCCCAGCATCACCACGATCTGCGAGTCTGTCTGTGAGAGAGAAGCTGTAATACTACCAACCAACCGCTGTGGAAGCACGTCCCTCCCGCCTACCAGCCAGGAGAGAGAGCCATAGAAGTCAGCGCCCATACCAGCATACGAATGAAGGTGGTCTTGCCAGTGCCGTTCTCCCCCAGCATCACCACGATCTGCGAGTCTGTCTGTGAGAGAGAAGCTGTAATACTACCAACCAACCGCTGTGGAAGCACGTCCCTCCCGCCTACCAGCCAGGAGAGAGAGCCATAGAAGTCAGCGCCCATACCAGCATACGAATGAAGGTGGTCTTGCCAGTGCCGTTCTCCCCCAGCATCACCACGATCTGCGAGTCTGTCTGTGAGAGAGAAGCTGTAATACTACCAACCAACCGCTGTGGAAGCACGTCCCTCCCGCCTACCAGCCAGGAGAGAGAGCCATAGAAGTCAGCGCCCATACCAGCATACGAATGAAGGTGGTCTTGCCAGTGCCGTTCTCCCCCAGCATCACCACGATCTGCGAGTCTGTCTGTGAGAGAGAAGCTGTAATACTACCAACCAACCGCTGTGGAAGCACGTCCCTCCCGCCTACCAGCCAGGAGAGAGAGCCATAGAAGTCAGCGCCCATACCAGCATACGAATGAAGGTGGTCTTGCCAGTGCCGTTCTCCCCCAGCATCACCACGATCTGCGAGTCTGTCTGTGAGAGAGAAGCTGTAATACTACCAACCAACCGCTGTGGAAGCACGTCCCTCCCGCCTACCAGCCAGGAGAGAGAGCCATAGAAGTCAGCGCCCATACCAGCATACGAATGAAGGTGGTCTTGCCAGTGCCGTTCTCCCCCAGCATCACCACGATCTGCGAGTCTGTCTGTGAGAGAGAAGCTGTAATACTACCAACCAACCGCTGTGGAAGCACGTCCCTCCCGCCTACCAGCCAGGAGAGAGAGTCCGCCTACCAGCCAGGAGAGAGAGCCATAGAAGTCAGCGCCCATACCAGCATACGAATGAAGGTGGTCTTGCCAGTGCCGTTCTCCCCCAGCATCACCACGATCTGCGAGTCTGTCTGTGAGAGAGAAGCTGTAATACTACCAACCAACCGCTGTGGAAGCACGTCCCTCCCGCCTACCAGCCAGGAGAGAGAGCCATAGAAGTCAGCGCCCATACCAGCATACGAATGAAGGTGGTCTTGCCAGTGCCGTTCTCCCCCAGCATCACCACGATCTGCGAGTCTGTCTGTGAGAGAGAAGCTGTAATACTACCAACCAACCGCTGTGGAAGCACGTCCCTCCCGCCTACCAGCCAGGAGAGAGAGCCATAGAAGTCAGCGCCCATACCAGCATACGAATGAAGGTGGTCTTGCCAGTGCCGTTCTCCCCCAGCATCACCACGATCTGCGAGTCTGTCTGTGAGAGAGAAGCTGTAATACTACCAACCAACCGCTGTGGAAGCACGTCCCTCCCGCCTACCAGCCAGGAGAGAGAGCCATAGAAGTCAGCGCCCATACCAGCATACGAATGAAGGTGGTCTTGCCAGTGCCGTTCTCCCCCAGCATCACCACGATCTGCGAGTCTGTCTGTGAGAGAGAAGCTGTAATACTACCAACCAACCGCTGTGGAAGCACGTCCCTCCCGCCTACCAGCCAGGAGAGAGAGCCATAGAAGTCAGCGCCCATACCAGCATACGAATAAAGGTGGTCTTGCCGGTGCCGTTCTCCCCCAGCATCACCACGATCTGCGAGTCTGTCTGTGAGAGAGAAGCTGTAATACTACCAACCAACCGCTGTGGAAGCACGTCCCTCCCGCCTACCAGCCAGGAGAGAGAGCCATAGAAGTCAGCGCCCATACCAGCATACGAATGAAGGTGGTCTTGCCAGTGCCGTTCTCCCCCAGCATCACCACGATCTGCGAGTCTGTCTGTGAGAGAGAAGCTGTAATACTACCAACCAACCGCTGTGGAAGCACGTCCCTCCCGCCTACCAGCCAGGAGAGAGAGCCATAGAAGTCAGCGCCCATACCAGCATACGAATGAAGGTGGTCTTGCCAGTGCCGTTCTCCCCCAGCATCACCACGATCTGCGAGTCTGTCTGTGAGAGAGAAGCTGTAATACTACCAACCAACCGCTGTGGAAGCACGTCCCTCCCGCCTACCAGCCAGGAGAGAGAGCCATAGAAGTCAGCGCCCATACCAGCATACGAATGAAGGTGGTCTTGCCAGTGCCGTTCTCCCCCAGCATCACCACGATCTGCGAGTCTGTCTGTGAGAGAGAAGCTGTAATACTACCAACCAACCGCTGTGGAAGCACGTCCCTCCCGCCTACCAGCCAGGAGAGAGAGCCATAGAAGTCAGCGCCCATACCAGCATACGAATGAAGGTGGTCTTGCCAGTGCCGTTCTCCCCCAGCATCACCACGATCTGCGAGTCTGTCTGTGAGAGAGAAGCTGTAATACTACCAACCAACCGCTGTGGAAGCACGTCCCTCCCGCCTACCAGCCAGGAGAGAGAGCCATAGAAGTCAGCGCCCATACCAGCATACGAATGAAGGTGGTCTTGCCAGTGCCGTTCTCCCCCAGCATCACCACGATCTGCGAGTCTGTCTGTGAGAGAGAAGCTGTAATACTACCAACCAACCGCTGTGGAAGCACGTCCCTCCCGCCTACCAGCCAGGAGAGAGAGCCATAGAAGTCAGCGCCCATACCAGCATACGAATGAAGGTGGTCTTGCCAGTGCCGTTCTCCCCCAGCATCACCACGATCTGCGAGTCTGTCTGTGAGAGAGAAGCTGTAATACTACCAACCAACCGCTGTGGAAGCACGTCCCTCCCGCCTACCAGCCAGGAGAGAGAGCCATAGAAGTCAGCGCCCATACCAGCATACGAATGAAGGTGGTCTTGCCAGTGCCGTTCTCCCCCAGCATCACCACGATCTGCGAGTCTGTCTGTGAGAGAGAAGCTGTAATACTACCAACCAACCGCTGTGGAAGCACGTCCCTCCCGCCTACCAGCCAGGAGAGAGAGCCATAGAAGTCAGCGCCCATACCAGCATACGAATGAAGGTGGTCTTGCCAGTGCCGTTCTCCCCCAGCATCACCACGATCTGCGAGTCTGTCTGTGAGAGAGAAGCTGTAATACTACCAACCAACCGCTGTGGAAGCACGTCCCTCCCGCCTACCAGCCAGGAGAGAGAGCCATAGAAGTCAGCGCCCATACCAGCATACGAATGAAGGTGGTCTTGCCAGTGCCGTTCTCCCCCAGCATCACCACGATCTGCGAGTCTGTCTGTGAGAGAGAAGCTGTAATACTACCAACCAACCGCTGTGGAAGCACGTCCCTCCCGCCTACCAGCCAGGAGAGAGAGCCATAGAAGTCAGCGCCCATACCAGCATACGAATGAAGGTGGTCTTGCCAGTGCCGTTCTCCCCCAGCATCACCACGATCTGCGAGTCTGTCTGTGAGAGAGAAGCTGTAATACTACCAACCAACCGCTGTGGAAGCACGTCCCTCCCGCCTACCAGCCAGGAGAGAGAGCCATAGAAGTCAGCGCCCATACCAGCATACGAATGAAGGTGGTCTTGCCAGTGCCGTTCTCCCCCAGCATCACCACGATCTGCGAGTCTGTCTGTGAGAGAGAAGCTGTAATACTACCAACCAACCGCTGTGGAAGCACGTCCCTCCCGCCTACCAGCCAGGAGAGAGAGCCATAGAAGTCAGCGCCCATACCAGCATACGAATGAAGGTGGTCTTGCCAGTGCCGTTCTCCCCCAGCATCACCACGATCTGCGAGTCTGTCTGTGAGAGAGAAGCTGTAATACTACCAACCAACCGCTGTGGAAGCACGTCCCTCCCGCCTACCAGCCAGGAGAGAGAGCCATAGAAGTCAGCGCCCATACCAGCATACGAATGAAGGTGGTCTTGCCAGTGCCGTTCTCCCCCAGCATCACCACGATCTGCGAGTCTGTCTGTGAGAGAGAAGCTGTAATACTACCAACCAACCGCTGTGGAAGCACGTCCCTCCCGCCTACCAGCCAGGAGAGAGAGCCATATAAGTCAGCGCCCATACCAGCATACGAATGAAGGTGGTCTTGCCAGTGCCGTTCTCCCCCAGCATCACCACGATCTGCGAGTCTGTCTGTGAGAGAGAAGCTGTAATACTACCAACCAACCGCTGTGGAAGCACGTCCCTCCCGCCTACCAGCCAGGAGAGAGAGCCATAGAAGTCAGCGCCCATACCAGCATACGAATGAAGGTGGTCTTGCCAGTGCCGTTCTCCCCCAGCATCACCACGATCTGCGAGTCTGTCTGTGAGAGAGAAGCTGTAATACTACCAACCAACCGCTGTGGAAGCACGTCCCTCCCGCCTACCAGCCAGGAGAGAGAGCCATAGAAGTCAGCGCCCATACCAGCATACGAATGAAGGTGGTCTTGCCAGTGCCGTTCTCCCCCAGCATCACCACGATCTGCGAGTCTGTCTGTGAGAGAGAAGCTGTAATACTACCAACCAACCGCTGTGGAAGCACGTCCCTCCCGCCTACCAGCCAGGAGAGAGAGCCATAGAAGTCAGCGCCCATACCAGCATACGAATAAAGGTGGTCTTGCCGGTGCCGTTCTCCCCCAGCATCACCACGATCTGCGAGTCTGTCTGTGAGAGAGAAGCTGTAATACTACCAACCAACCGCTGTGGAAGCACGTCCCTCCCGCCTACCAGCCAGGAGAGAGAGCCATAGAAGTCAGCGCCCATACCAGCATACGAATGAAGGTGGTCTTGCCAGTGCCGTTCTCCCCCAGCATCACCACGATCTGCGAGTCTGTCTGTGAGAGAGAAGCTGTAATACTACCAACCAACCGCTGTGGAAGCACGTCCCTCCCGCCTACCAGCCAGGAGAGAGAGCCATAGAAGTCAGCGCCCATACCAGCATACGAATGAAGGTGGTCTTGCCAGTGCCGTTCTCCCCCAGCATCACCACGATCTGCGAGTCTGTCTGTGAGAGAGAAGCTGTAATACTACCAACCAACCGCTGTGGAAGCACGTCCCTCCCGCCTACCAGCCAGGAGAGAGAGCCATAGAAGTCAGCGCCCATACCAGCATACGAATGAAGGTGGTCTTGCCAGTGCCGTTCTCCCCCAGCATCACCACGATCTGCGAGTCTGTCTGTGAGAGAGAAGCTGTAATACTACCAACCAACCGCTGTGGAAGCACGCCCCTCCCGCCTACCAGCCAGGAGAGAGAGCCATAGAAGTCAGCGCCCATACCAGCATACGAATGAAGGTGGTCTTGCCAGTGCCGTTCTCCCCCAGCATCACCACGATCTGCGAGTCTGTCTGTGAGAGAGAAGCTGTAATACTACCAACCAACCGCTGTGGAAGCACGTCCCTCCCGCCTACCAGCCAGGAGAGAGAGCCATAGAAGTCAGCGCCCATACCAGCATACGAATGAAGGTGGTCTTGCCAGTGCCGTTCTCCCCCAGCATCACCACGATCTGCGAGTCTGTCTGTGAGAGAGAAGCTGTAATACTACCAACCAACCGCTGTGGAAGCACGTCCCTCCCGCCTACCAGCCAGGAGAGAGAGCCATAGAAGTCAGCGCCCATACCAGCATACGAATGAAGGTGGTCTTGCCAGTGCCGTTCTCCCCCAGCATCACCACAATCTGCGAGTCCGTGAAGTCACCCGGCTCCACCGTCAGCTTGAACCCGCCCTGCTTCTTCACCATTCGCGGGTACTTGTACCGATTGTACGTCTTGGCCTCGTCGGGGTTCTCAACAGGAGTCTCTGCCACCTGATGGTTGAGAGACAATAGGATGAGATGAGGCATAGAGAAGGGCCATATAGCCGCAAAGCTTGAACCCGCATGTCATGCGCCGGTGGGTACTTGCACCGATTGTACATATCGGCCTCAACCGGGTTTTTCAACCCTGGAAATGAGCATTTTGACTCAGAAATGCGGGGTCTATATCCGCAGGAAGCCAGCAAAAAATATGCCAATGCCCTATCGAACGAAATAGAAAACCGCGGCAAGGAAGAGACACCCTTTGACAAGAAGGATCGACAGAAAAGCAGAGAAGATGAGAGACTCACCCTGAAGATGAGAGACTCACCCTGAAGATGAGAGACTCACCCTGAAGATGAGAGACTCACCCTGAAGATGAGAGACTCACCCTGAAGATGAGAGACTCACCCTGAAGATGAGAGACTCACCCTGAAGATGAGAGGCTCACCCTGAAGATGAGAGACTCACCCTGAAGATGAGAGACTCACCCTGAAGATGAGAGACTCACCCTGAAGATGAGAGACTCACCCTGAAGATGAGAGACTCACCCTGAAGATGAGAGACTCACCCTGAAGATGAGAGACTCACCCTGAAGATGAGAGACTCGTCTCGGAAGCGCAGGCTCTCAGATGACACGAAGAAGGCAAAAAATATGTTGATGCCTTCTCGCACAGAAAAGGATAAGACCCTCCTTTGGGCCACCTCCCTTCTACTCCAAACTTACCCCGAAGGTGAACGACTCGTATCGGAAACGGAGATTCTCGGTCGGAACGAAGCCGGCAAAGAAGATGTTGATTCCCTCTCGCACGGAGAAGGGCAGCGTGATATTTTGTATGTACAAAGCACTACCTCTTCCAGAGGCAAGACTAACCACAGGGAAGAAGACTCAACCCCAGACCACACTCACCCTGAATGTGAGCGACTCGTCTCGGAAGCGCAGGTTCTCGGTCGGCACGAAGCCAGCGAGGAAGATGTTGATTCCCTCTCGCACAGAGAAGGGCAGCGTGACCACCCCGTATGCACCCGGCTTGCCGTAGAGGCAGCAGATGAAGTCAGAGAGATAGTCGAGCACACTGAGATCGTGCTCCACCACAATCACGTATCTGGAAGGGTGGGGGGAATGTATGTGTGGAAGAGGACAGTGGGTGCATGGTTGGGTACGTGGGTGGTAAGGGCAGCGTGACCATCCCGTAGGCACCAGGCTTGCCGTAGAGGCAACAGATGAAGTCGGAGAGATAGTCGAGTATGCTCGGATCGTGCTCCACCACAATCACGTATCTGGAATGAGGGGCGTGTGGGGCAAACGAAGGAACTGCATGTTTTATGAGGCAAGGGTGGAATGTTGGGTGCATGAGAGGTAGGGTAGAGAAACAGACCACACAGGGCGCAGCAGTGCTCACCTATCAGGGCGCAGCAGTGCTCACTGCTCACCTATCGGGGCGCAGCAGTGCTCAGTGCTCACCTATCAGGGCGCATCAGTGCTCAGTGCGCACCTATTAGGGCGCATCAGTGCTCAGTGCGCACCTATCAGGGCGCAGCAGTGCTCAGTGCTCACCTATCAGGGCGCAGCAGGGAGCAGATGACTTGAGCCGCCTTCAATCGCTGCTGCACGTCCAGGTAGCTGGAGGGCTCATAGTGTGCTGTGCACGTCGGCCTAAAAACACCTGCCTGCCTGCCTGTATCTGTAGTCTATGCTCGCACCTATGCGTGTGTGCCTCCCTGTCTGCTGGTCATACCTGTCAGGGCGCAGCAGGGAGCGAATGACCTGGGCTGCCTTGAGCCGCTGCCAGGTAGCTGGAGGGCTCATCGTGCGACTGTCTATCTAGACGCACCTGCCTGCCTGCCTGTATGTATAACCTCTTCTCGCACCTGTGTGTGTGTGCCTGCCCTCCCTGTCTGTCTGATCGCACCTGTCGGGGCGCAGCAGCGAGCGAATGACCTGCGCTGCCTTGAGCCGCTGCCGCACGTCCAGGTAGCTGGAGGGCTCATCGAACATGTAGATGTCTCCCAGCTGCCCCGCCACCACCCCGATGGCAAAGCGCTGCAGCTCGCCCCCTGACAAGTGCTCCACCTCTCGGTCAAACACCTGGAAAGCAAAGCAAGAGGAAAGGGGGAGAGGGAAGGCGTGGGGAAGGGGAGAGGGCTCATCGAACATGTAGATGTCTCCCAGCTGCCCCGCCACGACCCCGATGGCAAACCGCTGCAGCTCCCCTCCAGACAGATGCTCCACCTCACGCTCCCACACCTGAAGCAGGGAACAAGGGGGAAGAGGGAGAGGAAAAGGGGTTCGACAGTTAAATAATAGGGTCTGATGGCAAACCGCTACAACCTCGCCGTCTGATAAATGGACCACTCAGAAATTCATCGCACCTCTTTGAACCCTATTTCACCCCCTTGAACCCCCTCTCACCGCTTTGAACCCCACCTCACCTGCTTGAGCTCCAGCACTTCCGACAGCTCATCCTTGGCGTCACACTCGTCCTTCTCTGTGAGCACCACGCCCACCAACCCCCAACCACGCTGTCCCGCTCGCACCTCCTTCCCTGACCCCCCCCTCACCCGTTTGAATCTCCTGTCACGCCTTTGAGCCCCCTCTCACCGCACTAAAACCCCATCGCACCTGCTTGAGCCCCAGCACTTCCGACAGCTCATCCTTGGCATCACGCTCGTCCTTCTCTGTCAGCACCACGCCCACCAACCCCTTCACCGCCTTCCCTCACTCTCCACGCCAAGCAGCCTAACAGCCCTGCCCCACTCGCACCTATTCTAACCGCCTCTCACCGCATTAAACGGCATCGCACCTGCTTGAGCTCCAGCACTTCCGACAACTCATCCTTGGCATCGCGCTCGTCCTTCTCTGTCAGCACCACTCCCACCTTCCCCCAACAGGCTGCCCCGCTCGCACCTCCTCTTTCCTCTAATCCCCTCGCACCCCTTTGAGCCCCCTCTCACCGCACTAAACCCCGTCGCACCTGCTTGAGCTCCAGCACCTCCGACAGCTCGTCCTTGGCATCACGCTCGTCCTTCTCTGTCAGCACCACGCCCACCAACCCCTTCACCGCCTTGGGAATGTGGTCCACGTATTGCGGCTTAATGATGGCCTGAGGGGGCAAGGATGGGAGGGGGGAGGATGAGAACGGGGAGGCAGGGAGTGGGGAGGCAGGGAGAGGGCGGCGAGGGAGAGGTGGGAGGGGTGGGCGGGGAAGGAATTAGAAGAGTGGTTGTTATAAACACGAAACACAAGCGATTCTTGAGGCGCTACAACAGTGGTTGAGGAGGAAAGGGGGGGATGGGATGGGAGTCTGTCTTGCACAATGCGAGCAAGACACTTGTGCATCGCAGTCAGTGTCAGACCCTAACCCAGTGTCAGAACCAGCTTGCGTGCCCCTTTACACCGCATCCCACCTTGAGGTTGTCCTCCAGAATGCGAGTGAAGTAGTTTTGAAGCTCCGACCCTCGGAAGTAGGTCAGAATCTCCTGCCAGTCAGGAGGGTTCTGAGCACACAAAACGGGCAGCACACAAAACGGGCAGCACACAAAACGGGCAGCACACAAAACGGGCAGCACACAAAACGGGCAGCACACAAAACGGGCAGCACACAAAACGGGCAGCACACAAAACGGGCAGCACACAAAACGGGGAACACACACATGGGCGGAAGGGAGTGGGCGGAATGAGATAGACACCCTTGGCAAAAATGCAGCTCCAAACCTGGAAAGTAGGTCAGAATCTCCTGCCAGTCGGGGGGTTTCTGAACACACAAAAATGAGCACAACACACAATACGGGCAGCACATACACACAAGAAAAGGAGAATTGGGCAGAATGAAAAGCTTACGGTCCACCTCCTCCAACCCTCAAAAGTCGGTCACTTGTTAACACATTTGCCACGCATGACGCGAGCAAAAGTCCGGGAAGGCAGAATGACAAGGACAGAATCGCCCGAGGTTGGGTTTGAGCTTCCCTGCCAGCACCTTGAGCGCAGTTGACTTGCTAATGCCATTCGTGGTGCCTTTTAGGGCGACTTAAAGGGAGTGAGACGAGGGAATGGAATGCTGGTGCTCACACTGAATCGTCCGAGGTTGGGTTTCAGCTTCCCTGCCAGCACCTTGAGCGCAGTTGCCTTGCCAATGCCATTCGTGGTGCCTTTTAGGGCGCCTCAAAAGGAGGGAGTGAGAGGTGGGAATGGGTGGCTGGGTGCTCACAGTGAATCGTCCGAGGTTGGGTTTGAGCTTCCCTGCCAGCACCTTGAGCGCCGTTGACTTGCCAATGCCATTCGTGCCCACCAGACCCAGCACCTGGCCTGGCCTTGGCACGGGCAGCCTGGGAAGCAGGCGTTGGGAGTGGGGCATACAGAGGGGGTTGGGTGGGGGTGGGGGATTGAGTTGAATTGCGGCTGGCGGTCCATCCGCCCTGCCAGCACCTTGAGCGCTGTTGACTTGCCAATGCCATTCGTGCCCACCAGACCCAGCACCTGCCCTGGCCTCGGCACGGGCAGCCTGGGAAACAGGCGTTGACAGTGGGGCATACAGAGGGGGTTGGGTGGGGGTGGAGGATTGAGTTGAATAGCGGCTGGCGGTCAATCAGCCCTGCCAACACCTAGAGAGCTGTTGACTTGTCAATGCCATTCGTGCCCACCAGACCCAGCACCTGGCCTGGCTGCGGTACCGGCAGCCTGCGGCGGTGGTAATGGGGCATAAGGCGGGAGAATCGGTGGTCAGCGGTTCTGAGGATAGAATAGCTGCTGGCACTGACAGTCTATCAGCCTCGTTTGGGGCCATCGAATATACATTTGGAGGCTGAAGCCGACTATTGGCCAGAATTCAGGTGGACGGCTTATACGTGGACAGATACATGAGACGGGCAGATGAAAGGGAGTCGGAGAACGCCAGGGACGGATGGGAGGTAATGCGTAAAACCCCAAACCCTGGACGAAGCTAGACAGGACAAGGCAACTGCACGCGCCGATTCGTACGCCTAGCGCTGCTATGAAGGTGAAGGTCGACGCAAGAGGGGGTCACTACTAGTGTAATGACTCGAGTGCAGCAGGGGGCGCCTGTAATGGGCTCGAAAGAGAGCTTGATGTGTGTCAAATGTAACACCTGCAGCACATGACTTCAGTAAACCCTAGCTCTGCTGCCAATGCCAGACCTAACCCTAGCCTGGGGCGTCGCGCGGGACACCTCGGCGAACCACCACGTGTGAAACTGACAACACTGCGAATGCTATCTCTGAAGCGCTTCAAATCGTAACCTCGGCGAACCACCACGTATTGCCACCACTTCGCACACACTAGAAGTGCTAGGCGTTATCACGTGCTCTGCTCTACACCCAGCAAAGTAACGGCTCAATCTCGTCTACATCGTAACAGCCTGTAACGCTGGGAGGTCGACTACTAAGCGGCTGAGTAGCCTGGCCTAGCCTGGGAAGCAACGCGGGGCTCGAGAAGTGTCGTGCTGAAGGTGCTAACGCTGACGCGATCAGTGGGGTTTGAAGCTGCTAACTCTGACGTCACTCTGGAGCTCGAAGCCGCGGATTCTGATGTCACCTGTGGAGCTCGAAGCGGCGGATTCTGACGTCACCTGTGGAGCTTGAAGGTGTTGGGGCCGTAACGGTGCGTGGTGTCCTTATCGAGATCCTTGGGCAGATTGATGATTTCAATGGCGTCGAACGGACATTTCTGCCACCACAGACCACAAACACCGAAAAAAACAAAATTTCTGACTGCGCCCAGAAACAATGAGAAATCGCATGTCGACTTCTATAAAGGAAAGTGATATCGCTAATACCGAGGCGAAGTAACTGTTATCAGCGCAAATGCTCACCTTGACGCAGATACCGCAACCGATGCAGAGCTCTTCGGAAATGAAGGCGAGCTTGGAGGTGGAGCCGACCTCGATGCATAGCTTGCCTGTGACAAACGAGTCAACGAGTCAACGGGTCAACGATTCAACGAATTAACGAGTCAACGAGTCAACGAGTCAACCGGTCAGAGACATTGAACGAGTCAACGAGTTAACAATCGGGAGGAACGGCTCGGATACAAATAGTATACGGATGGGATGAAGGTGCAGGAGAGGGTGAGGAAAATAAGGCTGAGAATTAGGAATATATCTAGTGTCGAAGTCGAGACGCAACCAGAGAAAAGGATAAGTCGAACTGATAGCGCGACACTCAGAGGATATCGCCGAACGGGTCGGACGAGGAGGATGCGTCGCAGCACCTGAGGGAAAGCGTGATCAGACTCGTAAATGTAACTAGGTGCCGAAACGAAAGGGGAATTCTGAAAAGGCTCAAACGATCAGCCTGGGAACTCAGTCGATCGGATTCGTAAATATAACTAAAAGGCGAAAGGATAATCAACGATAGAAAGAGAGGGAGTCGGTGGGATGGCGATGAAGGTACCAGTCTTGACGACCGGACAACTCTTCTTGCACTCCTGCCGACACTTCTTGGGCTTGCAGCGATCGCTGCTCACGATCGCAATACGCGTCAACCGATCCGCCATGCCGTATCTAAAATATCGGCAGCACCAGAATTTATTGTATACACGCTATCACTACTTAAGGTACGAACACCTGCAGCTCCCGCGACGGCCGGAGCTGAGATGGTTACTACGACCTTGCCAGACAACACAAAAGCCTGCAGCAGTCCTGCAAGGGAAAGGGAGTTCAACGAAACTGCGAGTTCCCTTTATTATTCGTTGGCTGGTCTCCTCCCACAGCAGACCACGCAAAGCCCAAGGTTCCAACCAGAAACGCGGATAGCACGGCGTGTGCCTGGTGGATGGTGGAGCGGGAGATTCCTTGTGAAAAGGCGATTAGGCTGTTGATCCTCAGCCGTAAAAATGGTATTTGGAGTTATCGAGGATGGCCAAGTGTTACGGGTGCAATGGATCGAGGTAGCGAGGATTGCACTAATGTGTCAAACGAGTACAAAATGTGAGCGAAGGCATGAGCGAACATTTATACGCGAAACATGCAAACGGTAACGCGGCGCGTGCGAGCTAGCTAGTGCTACGCTGGCGCGAGGTTCGGGCTAGTCCCGAAGCGTAGGCCGACTCGGCTGCTCCAGCAGTGCGAGGTTTGGTGAAACAGTGCGCGCAAAGTTGGCGAAGCCCCGTTAGCAGTAACGGGCGAACAACGGCTGTTGCTGTACGCGATGTTGCGGGCTGCGCTAAGGAATGTCGAGAAAATTCCTTACACTATCCCCCCCCCCTCAAGAAGCCCCCTCCGCTACGCGAGTGCGTGTATATCGCGGAAACCCCGGCTCCTTAGGTACACTTGCAGGGCAGGGTGGTTTTCGATGTTGGCCAGGGGCACCCAGCGATCCTCAGTTGGCGTGCGGTCCTTCCAGCGAACGAGGAATTTAATCCTCCTGATTCACGTGGGGTGTCGAATCCGATGGCTCAGGATTTTTTCGGGCTCGATGATCGGCTCCGATGCAGGGCGAGTCATGGATGGCGGGCGGTGACGAGGCAGTTGACTTGTGGTTGGGATGTTGGGGCGAAGCAGGCTGACGTGGAATGATGGGCTGATGTACCAGTCTGTCGGCAACAATAAGTGGGCTGTCACTGGGGTAATCATGTGGCTGATTCTTAAAGTTAGCGAACAACGGAATGTGTGAACTAGGGAAACAAGGGATACAAATGGCAACCCTAAAAGTGTTGTACTCCCTATAGTGCTACTCACTGTAGCCTAAGAACCTATTATAACATTTGACACACCCCCATAGGCTAAGTGAGGGGCATCAAAGCAAGCAGGGTGAACAAACGGTCACAAGACCAGTCACTGCAAGAAGCAAAGCAAGCTCAGGGTGGATCTCAAGGACACCACACAAATTCCGAGCACAAGCAAGCGGCCACAAGGCCAGTTCAAGAGTTCACTAGGATATATATAGCAAAGCACAACAAGCAGAGCAAACAGCAAGTCTACAGCAACCGAGGGCCTACCTCAACAAGCCCCAACTGCACACAGAACCTGTGGTGGTCACCAAGCGCCAGGGCCTTGGTGAAGACGTCTGCAGTGTTGGCCTCTGAGGCCACAAAGTCCAGGCGTGCCTGGCCGCGTCGCTGCAGCTCTCGCAGAAGGAAGTACCTCACGTCAATATGCTTCACTCTGCTCTCCAGTCGAGGCTCTCGACAGAGGAGGATCATGGCCTTGTTGTCAGCGTACAAGGTCGGTGCAGAGCGAGGCCGCTCACCAAGGTCGGCGAGCAAGAAGGTAAACCAGCGAAGCTCCTGTGCCGCCATGGCACCAGCGTAGATCTCTGCCTCTGCACTGGAAGTAGCCACAGACGACGTCCGTGTAGACCTCCACGACACAGCACCAGCACCCAGACTGAAGCAGTAACCCTGAGTCGAGCGCTGAGTCTCCACGTCGTCAGCGTAGGAAGAGTCACAGTGACCAGTCAACGCCACTGGCTGAGTCCCTCCAAGCACAAGCCCCATGCCTGATGTAGTCGCCAGGTACTTCGCCACCCTCACAGCAGTTGTCCAGTGGACAGGACGGTGTCTCCCAGTCGCAACAAAGCGAGAGAGGACGCTGAGGGGAAAGGCGAGGTCCGGCCGAGTACAAGTCATCAGGTACATGAGGCAGCCCACCAGCTCTGCGTAGGGACCACTGGACTCGAAAGGCTCGTCGGGAAAGGGGCCAGTGAGTCTGTGGTCAACAGCAAGAGGTGTGGGCTGTGTGGTGGAGAACTGGAAGTCGAACCGCCGAAGGACCTGCTGCACCATGTGTGACTGAGTCAGTGTGATGGTGCGAGCGGCTCTGTCCCTGGTGATCTGCAGGCCAAGGTAGCGCTGCAGTTCACCTAGGTCAGTGCACGTGTGTCTCTTCTGCAGTTCGGACTTCACCTGAGCCAGAGCTGCCCTGTCTGCTGTGGCAAAGACCAAGTCGTCGACGTACACTAGTATAAAGAAAGGAGTGGAACCAGTGCGAACAAACAGCGACGGGTCGGCAGAGGAAGGACAAAACCCAAGGTCACGAAGCGTGGAGCGAAGAGTGTCGTGCCACTCACGGGGCGACTGGCGGAGACCGTAGACTGGCCGTCTCAGGCTCCACTGGGTCCCAGGTGGGAAGGTGTCAGTGAAGCCAGGAGGGCGGCGCAGCCAGATCTCCTCGTGTAGTCGGCCCTGGAGAAACGCAGTAGAGAAGTCAAGGGAGTGCAGCTCGTAGTCTCGCTGTGCTGCTACGTGCAGTAACACCCGAAGAGTAGTCATCTTCGGGGTCGGGGCGAAGGTCTGGAAGAAGTCAACTCCCTCACGCTGACTGAAACCCCTAGTCACGTAGCGCGCCTTGAACACAGGCGGTGAACCAGGCGGCCGCTTCACCTTGAAGAGCCACATGCCATCGACTACGTTCGCCCTGGGAGGGGGAACTGCGTCGACGTAGGTGCCTGTGGATCTCCAAGACGCTAACTCCGAGGCCCACGCCCCTGACACTGCCTTGCGGTAAGTGCGAGGAGTCGGTATGTCAAGGGCGTCGGGGTCTCCCTCAGCGGATAGCAGCATGGCACAGACAGAGGGAGAAGCGGCTGCCCAGTACTCCAGCTCAGACTCTCTGTCCTCTAGGACGTCACAGCCAAGGGCAAACCCACCCCCGACGGACAGAGGACGGGAGGGAGGAGCTGGCACCACACGGGTGGTGTAGTCAAGGCGACTGGCGGCAACAAACTCAGCGACAGCGGCAGTGAGAGCCGAGACAGACGACGGAGGGAAACGAGAGTCGGTGACAAGAGTGGCGAGGACACGAGAGACAACAGGACGAACATCGCGGTAGTAGTCAGTGACAGGAGTAGGGGGGAAAGGGAGAGAGGACGGAGGCGGAGACGGGAGAACGGACTCAGGAGGAGGACGACGAAGAGACGAACAAAGGAGGGCAGTGCGGAGGTCGGTAACGGGAGACGAGTGACGAGCACGCGGAGGACAGGGACGGACACGAGAGTGCGGGACACCAGGTGGAGGAGACTGCGGTGGAGGAGAAGACCAGACCGCCGGACTGGCGTCAGGAGGAGGAAACGTGGGACCAAACGCTGGAGGGGACAGAGGGTGAACAGGAGGAGAGGAGGGAAGACCAAGGGCCCGAAGGCCACTCACGGGTGGGAACAAACAATTGCCGCTCCAGAGGGAGCTGCTGTGGTCGCAGCTGCGGCGGCGGTGTCTGCTGCTGCTGCGGCTGCTGCTGCTGCTGCTGCTCCAACAGGTCCAACTGCCGAAACTCCTGCCGCTCCCTCTCCAACAGCACCTGCTCCTCACGCTCACGTCGACGGGCCGCCTGGAGACGTGTGTCGTGGCGGTGGGGAGGCGGAGTGGACTCCGCAGAACCAGTGTCTCCAGCTCCAGTCTCCTCAGAACCAGCACCTCCAGTGCCAGCGCCTCCAGCACCAGCACCCCCAGAACCAGCACCCCCAGGACCAGCACCCCCAGTACCAGCACCTCCTGTGCCAGCACCTCCAGCTCCAGCACCCCCAGAACTAGTACCGCCAGTGCCAGGACCTCCAACTCCAGCACCCCCAGAACTAGCACCTCTAGTGCCAGCACCTCGAGCTCCAGCACCCCCAGGGCTAGCGCCACCTGCGCCAGCACCTCCAACTCCAGCACCCCTCAAACGAGCACCCCCGGACCGAGTACCGCCAGTGGCTGCACCTCCAGCTCCAAAACCAACCGAGTCCACAGTAGCCTGTCGCGGAAGTACCGAAAGCTGCTGAGGGGACTGTGAGGAGGACTGCGGGGAGGGAGCCGCTACCTGACGCGCGACTGAGGGTAGAGGGGTAGCGTGAGACACACCTGACGGGGCAGGACCAGGGGGGGGTGGGGGTACCGGAGGAGCGGGAGCAGGGGGAAGAGAGGGTGCGAGGAAAAGGGGGGGAAGGGGAACCGGGAGACCTCGACAGGGGTACCGGGTGTAGTAGGACACTGACTCGTCGAACCGGACGTCACGGGAGTCTAGGAACTGGTGGAGGGGCGGGTGGTAAAAGGACCAGTCGGTCGAGGCTACCGGGAAACCAAGGAAGACACAGGGGACGGCGCGAGCCGAGAGCTTGTCCGCAGAGGTGTCGCGGACAAGCGCAAGGCAGCCCCAGACACGAAAAGTTGACCCAACACCAGGGGACCCGGTCCAAAGACTGGTCGGTGAAGCCTCTGGCCGCGAGACGCGCGGCTGGAGGTTCAGCTGGTGAGCGGCGTAGCGAACAGTGTAGGGCCATAGAAAATGGGGCGCACGGGCATGAATCATGGACGTGCGGGCGATGTCCATGACCAAGCCAATGCGGCGCTCAGCAACCCCATCCTGCTGTGGGGACTCCGGCAACGTCCAGGACTGTACGATGCCCTGCTCGCCGCAGAATCCGGCAAGAATGCCTGAGCGAAACTCACCCCCACGGTCAGAGTGGAGACAGGAGACACGACGGCCACGAGTGCCCTCAGTGGCTAGAAGCCACTGGATCAGCGTAGAAGTCACCTCGGACTTCTTCGCGAGAGGAAACACCGTGGTGTACCTGGAAAAG